ATTTTTGTCCTCTTCTGTGTATTATATGCAATCTAACAGTCATACTTTTGATGTGATGATGAGATTTTCTTTTTGAAAAGGAATTAAATTTGAAACTGTATTTGATATTGTCTCCTGTTTTGAAAAATTATTTTGTGAAACTGATTTTTTGCATGTCCTGAAACTTGTTAGAAAATTAATTGCCATTGAAATAATACAAGACTAGAACCAGTTTATATTGGTAATTTTTTCTCTCTCTGTTTTCAAATATTTGCTGTGCTGGAGTTTCTGTAATGAAGATCATATTAGTAGATTATGTTTCAGTTCTGAAAAGCAGATGCGAACAAATTTTAAAAATCCTGTAAAAAATAATTAAATTTTGTAGCTAATTTTAATTATTTTGATGTTATTGTGAAAATTACTAATGTAATTAAAAAATTTCATTGCAATTTATATCTCAAAGTTATAGTAAATTTTATTTTGGAAAATCTTCCTGTTCAGTGTAGTTTCTCATTTTTATAGCCATTTTTATTTTATTTAATTTATTTTAAGATTCGTGCTGAATTACGGCAGGCTGAGGAACAAATACGACAGAGAGGCCGTGCTGCGGAAGTGCGGTGGTCATGTGACAAATGGCAACAAACTGCATTAGGTAAGAATTTGTTTTAGTATTATATTCATGTAGGTAAACTAAAGTCCTCCCAAAGATTTGGTGCACAATCCTCGTATTTTTTTTTAGGTGTTTTATATGAAATAAAAAACTGCAATAAAATATATTCCATGAATGTGCAGAGATGTTAAACATTTCCACTCTCTGCAAAACAATCTAATTTGTTGTTTTAAAAGTATAAGATTTCTGTGTTTCTTTGTATTTGTGTTACTTTAAAAGCCTGAAATCTGGTAAATCCTAGATTTTACCAAAGTAACTTGGTATAAGCCTGAAGTATGCTTTACTATTCCATTTTGGCTTTTTGCAGTAAAACCTAGGCATTGCCAAAGCCTTCTGGTAAAAGCCTGAAACGAGGGATTTAAATCAACTAAATTTGTACATGAAAATTCCATCGCGACACTGTTCTGTTCTTTTCCCCTCCTTATTTGCACTAGTCTAGTTTCAAGCAAATTCAAACAAGTGGCTACGATCTGAAATAGAAGCAGTTTGTTTCCATTTTAACATATTTTGCATTTTTTATTTTGCTGAAAGGAAATGAGTGATGTTAATCGGGAAAAGTTTTATGACATTTTGTTTGAATGTCTAAAAAATAAGCACCATAACAGCTTTTATTTAACAAATGAGAAATACACTTCTTTAATAAATGAACTGAAAGAAGCAAAATGTGTGAAAAAACAAACAAACAAACAGTGTATTACAGAAGGTAGAAACATCATGATATTCTAAATATTGGATAAGAGGACAAAATTATAGCAGCAGATTTGCAGTTGGCCATGTTGGAAGCCTACGATTACAGAACTGAATCACAAGTATAAGAATGTAAGAGTAGAATCTATCGTCATGTATTTATGACTATGTGAACCATGTTGGAAAATACAAAAAACTGTGAAAAAGGGGATTGTTATCAAACCAAATGTGCATAGCAAAATGAATCCTGGATGCAAAGTTGACCTAATAGATATGCAGTCCATTCCTGATCGTGAAATTCATTTTAGTGTATCAAGTTAGTTACAAAATTCATCCTACTTCGAAGTTTACAGAGTAAAAAGAGCTGAAGAAGTAGCATATCACTTGGATATTTTTGCAAGTTTTGGAGCCCTCAAACATTCTCCATTCCGACAATGGGAGGAGATTTAGTAACAAAATTATAAACAGTGTGATATAAGAATAGAAATGTGGAGTGATATAAAAAAGTTAACAGTAAACATACTGAATTTTTAAAAAATATAGTAAGTTTATAAGTTAAATAAAAATATAGTTTTAATAAATGTAGTAAAATTTAAAAAAAATATAGTAAGAAAAACATACTATATTTTTAAATTTTATTATTTTTATTTAAATTTTTTCTTGAGTTATCTATTTAATTTTTTTAGCTATTGCCAAAATTATTTTTTTAAATTATTGAAATCTCTTCAGTAGTTATTGAGAAAATTGTGCATTAGTTCAACTTTTTTCACATGGGATCTTATTTGTGAAATGGCATAAATTTTGCATTTTTTATTTTTATTTCTTGTAAGAAAGTTATGCTATTTTATTTGTTTAGTATTATTTTTATCATTATTTGTATGTAATGAAAATCTACATATATTGGTAATTTATAAGCAATTTTCAAATGACTGTAGCTTATATCTCTGTATGTCCCTATATTAGTTAAAAAAGTCAATTATTTTTATTCTTATGATATTTTGTCTCATTGTAATGTATTCCTTTATAATAGTATATATGTCATTAATTTATATCTGAGTCAGAATAATATATGCAGCAAATTCTAAAATATATATAAAGTAGTTTTCTTAAATTATGAATGTAAATAATTATATGTCATGTCAGAAACATATTTGTAAGCTATAAAAGATGTGCTTATGATGTTATTGTTTCTCTTCTGCAAAGGGCTTTGTTAACCCATTGAAGAAACAAGACATACGCACCTGCTAAAAATCATCTTTTCACCAATAATGTTAAAAATCTTATTTGTATTTCAGGGAAGCTTTAACAAAGTACTAGCTAATTTTCTTAATTGAAATATTCCAGAGATCATATTTTCAGGGCTCTGTCTAATATAACTCCTGTGCACTCCAGAAATGAAAATTATTTTGTACACTAGTGGACAGTTGCTGAGGACAGATTACAAATAGCTATGCAGCGCATAAAAAGTGTGTTTGGATGCCAAATTAAATAAAATAATGCAAAAATACTAGGACATAACAATAATTTATTGTGCTCTGAAATTCAGAAGGCTTTGGTAAGTGTTTAAAGGATAGAATGATTATTTTGTGCTAAATACATAAAATGAAAAATATGCATTTACCCTCCAGAGGCATTCTGGCTTAAGATGTCAGATTGGGATATGGCTATTATGAAGGGTCATGCAAGATTCCACATGCCATGTTGTATTTTGCACAATATTATCCAGCTACTGTTGGGATAATTTATCCCATTTCTCTGTCAGTACATGGACAAGGGTGTCCTTGTTTATTGGAGGGCATTGTTGAAAAGCAAGACCCCAAAGCATCCCAAACATTTTCAATGGAATTCAAATCTGAAGAACGTACTGGTCACTAGAAATGTTGAATATCCTTGCTCTCTAGACATTTCTGAACCGCGACAGTTCGATGACATGTTGCCTTGTCATCCATGAAAACAAATTATCACCCACAGCATCATGGAACAGGCAAACATGAGGTAGCAGAGCATTATTAATATATCAATGGCCAGTCATAGTCCGATTTGGAAGTACATAGAGCTCTATATGGCCATTGATCATAATCCCAGCCTATACAATGACATTACATGTAAGATATCGGTCCCTTTTCTGTATGTTTGCCAAACTGTATGCAGTACCACTCTCACACATCAGTTGGCATCCACAATCAGACAAGAGACTGTATCTACTTTCATCTGAGAATAATACAGAAGCCCGGTCATTTTCTCTCCAACTGTGGTGCTGATAACATTATTGCAAACAGGCAGAACAGTAATGTCTAGGCAATGGAATGCACCAACAGGATGGCAGTTGTATAGTCTTCCTTGATGCAAATGTCTGGCTACAGTTTTTCGGGAGATTCACTTGGCAGTAGTAGCAAGTAACTGATTTGGTACATAAGTAGCTATATTGCACCACTTCCTTTCTGTTCTGTAGAGCTATATGTTTATTTTCTGCAGGTGTTGTACCGTGAACCAATCTAGCCTGTGATGTTTGCTGCACATTCCATTTGTTTGAAATGATTTCCAAAGCCGTGAAATGGCACTGTGGTTGACATGAACTCTATAGAAACTTCTAGTTTCTAAACATTTCTTCTAAACATGAACTTCTAGTTTTTGCCCCTAATACGATATGCTTGATACTAGTCGAAGAACAGGAGGCCTTGAGCTTTTGAACATATCAAACTTCTTTTGTCAAAAGCTGTTTTATTTCTTCTGCTTCTGTTAGTGTAGTTCCTTCTCATAATATAGCCTTTAAATTTGGTTTCTATGTTTTTCACATTATTTCAGTTCTTAATTTTTTTTAGAGTTCCTTCCTTTTATGAATGGTGTATTTCCTACTTTGAGGTATCTATTCATCATGAAGTATAGCTTACTGTGTATAAAAGCATTATGCACTGACATTTTAGAATCACTTTAATGCATGTTTCTGTACATTTTATTTAATTTATTTTTATGTTTTTCTCTTTTCAGGTTCAACAATTCAACAAGTTTTAAGTGCTTTAGATGCTCTTGACCGTCACAATTTTGATAGAGTTGATAATAATAATTCTCTAGATGTCTTATATGCAAAAGTTTTTCCATCATCTGCAAATAAAGAAAAATGCTCTAATTATGGAAGCCTGAGTGAAATGCTTGTGCAAGATGAAGCAATTGTTCGATTACTTTGTGAATGGGCTGTAACTACTAAACGCTGTGGTGCTCATAGAGCACTTGTTGTTGCTAAACTGTTGGAAAAAAGGCAGTCAGAATTAACAACTGAGGTAGTACTTTCATTATAAGTTTAGTTAATTTGTAGATTTGTCTTATGTCACTTAATTTAATTGAAGAGGGAAAAAATACCTACTTGAATGTAAATATATTTATAGTGCATATTCAAGTAAGGTCTTGAAGTGTGATGCATAATCAAGCAAGCTTATCATTTTTTAGAATGACTTATCTTTGAGAATAAAATAAAGTTACTGCTCAACCATGGGTCATTTAACTGTATTTAGTTCAATTTTTACCATCTCTCCATATCCATCAATTAATAGGGAGAGTTTTAAAGGTATAATTTCATAGAAAATGTAAAACTAATATTTGTTTAATTTTGTTATATTAATGCATGTAAAGTCAAAAGCACATTTATAGTAATGAAATCTTATTTCCTGTATTTTAAAAATGTAATATGACGGACATAGCATGTTAATAATTTTAAAAAAGAATATACGTAGCTCCTATAAGTTCAGATATATAATTGTGTAACTTCTTTCATTTATTGATTTTGACATATTTTGCCTGTGAATTTATTATTTAGATATAATTATAAAATAATGTTATCATTTTTATTTATTTGTTATTGTTGATTTGATTATCTTATTTATCATTTATATATAATACTGCTTTTAGAAATTTGGTGAAGCTGATACTGCTGATGAAAAAGATTCTCAGGATTCTACAAGTGTGTTACCTTTAGGTTTACCTCTGTATCAGAACCTTTTAGTCAATTTTTTAGATACACAGGCACCTGTCATAGGTAAGGATTTCTTTAGAGTGATTAAAATTGAAATATTTAAGGAGATAGTTATTTATTTTCTTCAATCAGTGCAATTGAATAATGTGTTTGTTTATGTTGTTTGTGACATATTTTATCCATTTTAATAATGTTACTGAAGACTGAATTGAATGTTTTGAGAATATGATATGCATCTATTTTCTCCTTGTTTTTAACAATAAGTATATTGTTCAATATAAATTTGATTTCTGTGGAAACATTTGAAGGAAAGGAAACAAAAATTTGCTTTATAACATTCTAAAAAAAATCTGCATTATATGTAATATATTTTTAAAATCATGTGCCGATTTTTGAAAATTATATTTTATATTGTTTTAAAATGTGTAAGTGATCTTCTTGATGTTGAAAATCCATTGCTTTCTCTCTCTCTTTTAATTAATACCATTTTTCGAATAATAATAGTAATGCTTTTCTTCCCCTCTTTTGTCCAGTGCAATCATCTTTGACATTTCTTGTAATCATAATTACTTTTCATTTTAAATTATTTTGTTAAACGAGTTTACAGATCCAGCTGCATTTTGAATAGAAAAGAGAATTATAAAAATTTAATTTTCATATACTACTGAAGCACTTTACAATCAGTTTGTTATAGTTGTTATCAGTAGTAATATGGTAAGTTTGTTTATCTTGTATGTAAGGAAGAAACTTAGTGTAAAAATTTCTGCTTATTGACATAGTTATTCTGAAGAATCATAACTGTTAATAATTTATGCCGTTATTTGGTTAAAGAAATATATATGTAAATATTAAAATAATTCAATACTAGTGAAGATATTAATTTATTCATTTATAGATAGAACTTGAAATCTCCATTTCTGAAAATTGAAATATTCCTGAATCAAGCCTGTTACATACAAAACATGATAACATACAAATATTAGCATGATGAAAAATTAAAATAAGACTTCTCAGATCATATTCATGTTCACTATTTACCATACATTTTAGCATCTCAACTCGCCTACAGACATTTGCAATTTAGCATGACCCACATGAATATATTACTCTGAAAGTAAAGATGGAAAGAGGAAAATAATTTTGAAATCCAGTAATATAAATGTGCAATTATTATCAATTTAGTGGTGATAAGGAATTAATAATTTTAAATTAATGTATGAAGCAAATAGAATTTTAAAAAAATAGTAAATATTCAAAAATTTTATTGACTCGGACTTTGGAGCTATTGTTCTAGTACATCTGAATATGGAATCTATTTCATATAAAGGGGTTCAACAAACTAGATGGGTCTTTTCAAACTATGCCAAATTACTGGAGTAAGCTAAGTCCCATTATTATTTTTCACTTATGTGCAAAACATAGTGATTTACTAGAGGTGTATTCCTTTCCCTAAATTTTAAATTAATTTCTCAGGGCACTGGGCAGCAAACTCATTAGTCAAAAGAGCCAAAACTCAGCAGTATAATTTCTCTTGAGAGCCAAATTTCTTTTCAAGAGCCATGTTTTTAGAAGTCAGTTTAAACTAACTACTAATATTAAATAAAATCAGATATAATAATAATAATCTTAGAAGAAAATATTTCATACTCTTCCTCTTATCAGGACCAGATTTAGGAATGGATGTTTGTATGCATGTATCGATATATGTGTTCATGTACATATGTATGTATATATATACACACACGTGCATAAGTACATGCATACGTACATTTCTGTATCTGGTACTGATAACAGAAGAGTATCAAATACTTTTTACATTAACAGATGAAAAAAAAAATTACATTAATCTTTTTACTTTTAATTTTATGTTAAATTAAATCCATTTTAATAATGAAATCAAAAGCCATTTTACTTTTAATTTCATTAATCTAGAATTTTTATGCAACGTATAATTTCTTATAATTTATTATCATCCTCATGGAAACAAGCCAAAGGAAGTGTAAAGCCTTATAAATGCATACAATAATGTTTTTCAATTAAAATAAAATTAAGAGTTTTAATTAGATTTAAAAGGAATAATTGTAAATTATATTAAAAATAATGTTACAAGTTTTAATATGCTGGTTTATTTTTCCTGTAAAAGCAGAACTATATGAAGAAATAATGGGAATTGTTAAAGCAGTTTTGCCATGTAATTTCTTCAGCATGTGTTAATTTTCTTTTACATTATTTTATAGATGATAGACCTTCTGTCGACAGTAAAAATGCCTTTTCCAATCTCGTCTTGCTATTTGCGGAACTGATTCGCTATGACGTTTTCTCACATGATGCATATATGTGTACTCTTATTTCAAGAGGCAGCTTTACTAATGCAGTGGGAACACAAGTTGGCTCTGCAACAGGTTGCATACCACAATCAAATAAGTCTATTTCTACTCCGGAACCCTCACTGACTGGATTTATGCCTGATCCATCAAGAGGTTTATCACCTGGGCCTGGCAGTGCTGGTTGTATAGGAATAGGAAGCATGCCTGGCTTGGGCATTCCCTCGATGGAGCGACAAGAATCTCTTCCAATGTTTGAACCTCCTGATAATCATCCTGGCTCTGTTAAACATGAGGTTTGTATTTTCTTTTTAATAAATTTGTTATGAATTATGTATTTGTATACTTATAAAAGTTAATTATTTATTATACTGAATATATATATATATATATATATATAAATGTATGATGTTCATATGGGAGGATCAAAGTTATATTGGAAAATTAGCTTAAGGTTTTGCATTTGTTTGATCAAGACTAAAATTTCCCATATTTTTTAATTTACAGTAATACAGTAAACATATTTTTTAATTTACAGTAATACAGTAAACATATATTTTAATTTACAGTATTACAGTAATTTTTAATTTACAGTTTTTTGAATTTTTTAATATACAGTAATCTGATGCTTGGGTTGGCAGAAAAAGCGCATTAAAGAAAAAAAAATCTGTAAGTTGCCTATCGCCTAGCTAAGCAAAATGAACAAAAAATTTCGACACAAATTATGTTTTCTGTTTGCGCAGTGCACTAAAAATTTTGATTTTTTTCGCCTATTTTTTATAGTTACTAAACTCAATACTATCGAAATGTTGTAGGTTTCTAATGTGAATTTTGGGACGTGTGAAACAGGAAAAAAGTTTAAATTCTGTAATTTTAAACTATTTATTATTTGAACAAAAGCTCAAAACCACCAGTTTTTGTAAAGGTTGCAATATTTTGTAACTTTTGCCGAAACTTTTTTAAACTGTGATTATAATTATGAAATATTATGTAACTATAATGTGTAATTGTAAATATTCTGTAGATTGATAAGTATTATACAACTGTATGTGATGACAACTGATTCAGATAATTTTCACATCATTGACAAAAACAAAATAAAAAGAGGAAAAATTTGTAACAGCAGAAATGATTTGCAGAATAATTTGTCTACTGATCAGATAATTGAAACAAAAACAAAATAAAAAGAGGAAAAATTTGTAACAGCAGAAATGATTTGCAGAATCAGTCTATTAAGGAAACACTATGTGGTCTATATTTTGATGGAAAAAAAGATGACATGATGATAATTAGAAAAATTAATTCAAAGCATTTTTGAAGAACTGAAAAAGAGGACCATTATTCCTTAATGCAAGAACCAGAATCAAAATATGTTATTGTTCATGCTTCTCTCTCTACAAGACTTACTGAAGATATAGCCTCTATCATAATTTCCCCATTTGATTACACATTAGATTTTTCTAGAAGAACTTGATGTGATATGGAATGATGGAATTGTAAATCTGCAATTAATACTGGTTTGAAAAATAGTATTATCCACCTGATTAAATTGCATATTGAGAGACCACTGCATTGAGCTATATGTCTCCTACACTTAATGAATTGCAGTTACGTCACCTATTTCCTCACTTGGATGGTGTTACCACAGGGCCCAAAGGAACCTTTGCTTTAGAGAACCAATTACGAAAAAAACGCGATGGCTGTGGAAAATATTTTCTAGTTCGCTTTGAACATTATGAATTTTCCATTCCTCAAGTTGATAGGAAAGAGTTGAGGAAAGATCAGTATATTTACATGATATTTTATGCTGCCATAAAATTAAGTACAATTTTAGAAAACTTAAGCAATTTGTGATCTAGGTCTGCTTTCACACTCAAGGTGACAGCAAATTGATTTCCCAGTCATGAGCTTTTTTTAAAGCTGATGACAAATCTGATGAAATTATGCAGTTAATACATTTTATTTTGAATTGTTACATGCTTCTCTTGTTCAAAATCAAAACCAGTAAAAATTTCACAGATGGTCCAAAGATAAATATTGAAGCTATCAGAATATCACATTATCCAACTCAAAATTTACTGCAAGTCATCATTCCAGTAATTCAGTGGAATGCTTTCTTTGCTTATCCCCAAAATTTGAGCCTTGCAGTAATTGTGGATAAAAGAAGAGATATTAGAGAACTAGGTCTGTGTCGCTTGTTAAAAGCTGTATCACTTCCCATGGAAAGATTATTCAAAACTTCACCATGCCAAAACTCAACTTCCAAAGGACAGAATATATCAACGTGATTTGGTGGGATATTTGCTATATCTCTTTTCCTACATGATTAAGGAACTTACAGATGAGGATATCAAAAATCTATTAAAGATGGCACATCACTTTAACTGGATTTCCAAAGCTTCCATTGTAACAACCAGGCTGTAAAATAGTTTGTCAGACTTGTGGCTGAAGCATCTAAAACGATGTGTGGAGCTGACGTGAGAGATAGCTTGTTGAGGATGACCCTCCTATCAAGATTTATTATACCAGCATTCCCCCCTCCCAAAAAATAATTTAAAGAAACACTTTTTTGAATTACAAAATTAAGAAAGATAAATATCCTTTGTTTACGTAAAATGAAAAAGTAAAATTATTAGAAATTAGGAAATATTGCCTTATTTTTTTTTTTTTTTTTTTTTTTTTTTAGATTTTTGTGTAAACAATAACTAATTTAAAATTATCGGTTTTAAACTTTTTTCGTGTTCCTCATGCCCAAAAATTCACATTAGGAACAGATTTATTTTGATAATAGTAAGTTCAGTGATAATAAAAAATTGAGGAAAAACAGCAAAAATTTATATTTTTTAATGTTTAAGTGCAGTGTGCAAATGAAAGTGGTATTTTTATATGCTTTTCCCGCATACCTGGGCGATAGGCAACTTTTCTGGGATACAGCGATAGAAATTTAAAAAAAAAAAAAAAAAAAAAAAATTTTTTTTTTGGTCCACCCTAATGTGTAAGCATGTTCCAAGACCTATTGTGTTCATGGTTAAGCATAAGTAATAGTGAATACTACATGTGGCATGATTTTCCTATAATGTGTATGAATAAGGTAAAGCTTAATTAATAAATTGTGCATAAGACATTATTAAATAATGTGTATTGCAGGTTACATTGTGTATTTATAATGTAGTTTCTACTAGCATTCACTGTTTTAATCTTGAAGAGTTGACAGTGCTGTGAAAATTGTTTGATACTATATAGAATATAGTACAATTTTGAGAGCATATGAAACAATAAAAGTCATACTTTCCCATAAAGCATTTCGAAAGCAATAAAACACCAAAGAAGATTGTAATTGCATTCACCCCCTCATGATTTGGAGCTTGGCGTGAAGATGGTGCTGAGTACAGTAGGTTGTATTTCACAATGTTATGCCAATTCTCACATAATATAATTTGTAAAATGACCTTACTGAATCTAAATAATTGCTGGGTGATTATGTAACATCCCTACATACTTTTCTGTCATCCATATAAAAATAAAATGCATTAGCAGGAAAACTGCTCCTGTTCCAGGCATCTGATTGGCTACTTTCTAATTTTAGGAGCATTTTACTGAATTCTCCCTTCTGAAATGGCTTACTGAGAAACTTGGACTTAAATCCTATTGAATGCCTATTGGATTCTTCAGGAAAAAAAAAAAAATTTATAACATATAATTCACTATCAACACCTTTAATTGATTTATGGGAAATTCTAAAAATATTTTACAGGCCATACGTAAGTTTCCAGGCCAACAAATTTTATGTATGATACATAAGGTTTGTTGAATCCATGCATAATCGTGCAACAGCCAGAGGAGCAGCAATTCATTACTAATCATGTCTGTAATTCAGTGGCACTTCAGTGTATTTTATAATTACATGTTGCCTGTCATCCATTTTTTAGTGCTCTGTACGCATTGTTTTATGTATCATATCTTAATATTAATTTGTTTCAGGCATCATGGGAGTCTGAAATGGATTTGGATGATGCTCGTATTGATGCTGACTTAGGGAAACTTTTACAGCACATTAAAGAGGGACAACAAAATATGAGTGATCAGCCAGGTTGGTTTTTTAATTTAATTTAGAAATTATTTTTAATTTTATTCTGATAATCACTGTAATGAATATTAAAATAAATTTGATCTAATAATAAAATATAAAAATTAGCTTTTATTTTTAACATTTATTATTATTGCTATGAAAAGCATTGTTTATAACTATTTCATTGCTACTTGTATAATGTTTCTGATGTTTGTAAAAGCAAGAATTTTCGTTTTGTACTCTAAATGTAGTCCTATAAATATTGTATATGTAAGTGCCGTTTGCATTCCCAAAAAGCATAATTTTGTTTAAGTAGTATAGTCTTCAGATCTTAATTGGATATTCCTGAACAAACTGGGCTTTAAATTAATAAAATGAAAGAAACAAAGAAATATTGCAAAGCCACTGAAAAAATCTGTAAGATTGAGGTTTTTTTACACAATCAAAATAAATTTTTCTTTAGTTCTAGAAGCTATAAACCAAATGCATCTCTCTTCCCCCCCCCTTTTTTTTTTTTTTTTTGCCTCTAGGTTTTACAGCCAGTTTATGAACATTTATAAGACATGCATATGCTGCTTCAGGTTGAATTTAGGATTTTAATTTCTGTTGTTGAAGTACAGGCATTAATATTTTTAAATATTGAATTCCTTTGCAGAATAAACATAATACTGTGAATTTTTAAGTTGTATTTTGAATTATGTTTCTTAGTATCTTCTCTACTTTGTTTTCTTTATAAGTAAAAGTTATATTTACATTATACATACAGCAGTCTATGTTATAATAGAGATCATTTACGTTCTTTTTCATTTGTGTATTTACTGAAAGAGCATTTTCAAAATCCTTTACATGACTTATTATTTGCAAGATGACAGTCTTTTAACCTGTCAAAGTACTTAATATACCATCTTTCTAAGATCACCTCTAACTTCTGATTCATACGAAATAAACTTAAATCTTTTCCCTCCCTTCAATTGAGCATTTGTGCAAACTGTTATATTATTACTAGCCCTAATTTTAAGATCTTAAAATAGAAGAATTTGAAATATTGTCAGAATTAGCTGTATGTTTAATATATATATATGAAATTGTACAAATACTATAATATTGCAAAGAAATAGGAACTTCTGAGGCAGATAATTTTAATAAAAGGAAGAAACTGAATGAATTTCTTAAAAACCTCGTAGTATCGAAAGCTATACAATATTATTCAGTGAACATTGCAAAGTCATTCTATGGTTATTATTTAGTCCAAGTTCAATATCTTGGTGAAAATGTTTGGAATATTGTCAGTATTATAAGAATGCAATACAAAGATAAAGTGAATAGTTGTGATGGAAAAAATGGCATTGATCAACTGCTTTGATGCTTTATCCTAAGCCGTCAGTTTTAAAAATGTAGTAGCTGCAAGATATAGTAAAGTGAATCACAGTTATGTATTTAAGATTCTTGTTAAAAAGCCCTACTATAAATAGTCATTCTCTGTAAAACAAACCCTGTTCCATTAAATTACTAAAAATATAGTTGAGCCAATGAACTGAGAAGAAGTTCAATGCATATTGTTGTATTGCATGGAATATTTTATTAATGAATAATTGTGTGACATATTTTATTGTTGCATAAAATATTTTCTGTCGAAAGGATTTTGAACCTATGCATTTTGTGTCTGTGCTAAAATTAAGGCTAGAGTTAGCTAAATTCAGCAGTATTTCCTATAACAAATTCTGCCTTCTTTATTCAAATGCATGTATATCAATGTAATATTTGTATTTATTAAGCTGAACCAGCTAATTATTTTGAATTGCTGTTAATTTTATTTGTGAAAATGATTACTGGCCCTGGGGAGGCACAGAAGAAAGTTTTAAAGTTTCCTTTTCCTGGTACTGTATATTACTATTAAAATAGACCCAGTAAAATTTTCTTTCATGAGAATCAGTTTAACTTATTTTAAAATGATAAAGAGACATTTTTTATGGTGTGAGTCCCTTAGGGGAAAAGTGGGGGTAATTTAAGTCTGGTGTAATTTTAACCCTTTAACTGCCTCGGAAAACATACAAGCTTCATTTCCCAGTGCCACAGTTTTTCACACAGGCACGCATAAATATGCAATGTATTAGGGGAAAATAAGTGCAAGTTTTACTTTCTAAAAACTGTTTACTTTCACAAAATAAAGAATAAAAGAAAAAATGAATGCACAAAATTTAATGTTTTGAGTAAAAGTATAATAAAAGATGTAAGTATAATAAAAATGATGTTTTTATAATAAAAAAGATCCCTAAAATGGAGTTTCGATCAATTCATTTTTAGACCAATAAAGTGTAATATCAGGTTTCAGTGTTATACCTTGTGAAATCAGTATGCCTAAAAAAACATATATTTCTTCTGAACTGGTTGAATGCTACGATTTTGTTCTTGATTTTTCGTTTGCAAGGTGTTGGTTCGTATACTCGTCCACAAAATGGTTAGTTTCAGTAATAATATGAAGCACGAGCAGTTTATCAAAAAATAATTCAAAAAAGATAAATGGGTTTGAATATCCGTTATATCTTTCTTTATTCCCAGAACCTACTACAAAAAGTAAACGAAAACGGAGGACACAGAATTAAAAAAAATACGTTTTACTCAAACAACATCAGCCAATACCGCGTAGTCATTGTGCTTTCACGGCTTTAGACACATAATTCCCTCCAATTTCTCCCCACACTTCTGTGAAATAGTATCCTCCTTGGCATACTTTGCAAAGGTCATTGTGGTGTTGCATTCAAAAGCTTTGTGAATAATTTTACGGGTAGCAGCGCAAAGCAAATGATAGCATTTTGGAAGGGTGTGTATATACACACCCGTGGCAGTTAACACATGGGCTGAGCAAGGCATATACTATATACGCCCACAGCAGTTAAGGGGTTAAGGTAATATTACCCAGTTTTCTCTTCTGCCTTTTTTTAAATGTAATTTGCATCAATTTCTTTTTTGAAGATTATTTGCATTGTCAGTTTTTTAAAGTTTATTTGCATATTTTATATGTTTTATGTCATTCCATAAAGCTATTTTAAAATGAATAATATATTACTTAGATTCTGTTGGATCAGATAAAGATGAATCTACTGCACTCAATGCTTCTACTCCATTGGCACATCCTCCTCTTGTTCCTTGCTGTACTCCTGGTACAGAAAACTTAGCAAACTCTGCAAATGTAAATTCTTCACCACCTACAACTTTAAGTAATACTGCAAGGCACTTACTATATACTACCCATTTCCCCTTGCCACAGGATGAGGCTGCTTCACATGATTGCAATCAAAGACATATTTTATTGTTTGGTGTTGGAAAAGTCCGTGATGAAGCCAGACATACCATCAAAAAGATGGTGAAAGAAATAATGAAGCTTTTCAGTAAAAAAACATGCATGGATATTGCAGATAGTGCCAAAGTTAAGAAAAATGCCAAAGATGGTTTTAATTTTGAAGCTGTTGTCAGTAAATTTCAGAGCTTGTCCTATTTTGATCAGCATGTTGTGACAACAATATGCGCGACATCTGTGATTGAAATGCTGAGTGCCTTTGCCATGGGAAATTCCAATTACCTTCCTTTGGTTGAATACATTGCCTTTTTGTTTGAACTAATGGAAATTGCCTTAAATATTCATGGATTAATTGAGTTTACTATTCAGGTAATAATAATTTTTGTGTGTTTAATTTTCTTGTATTAAAGTATTTTTCAAAAATTAAACTTCAAAGTGCTATTAGTACTTGTTATTTCAATTCTGACTTTTATAAAGTTTTCTCTTCAGATATTTGAATTATAGTTTGCTTGAATTAAAAAACTGAATGAGCTACTTTAGTACAAAAAATAAATTCCATTACTAATAATCTTATTTATTACCAGATAACAAATTATGATTAAAAAGTACTTTTCTGTTATCCAAAGCAGATTCAGAAATGTATGCATGTACATGTTTGTGTTTACACACATACACTTGCATACATTTCTGAATCCGGTCCTCATTGCAAAAAATTCCGATTAATATTGTCATATTCATTATTCTGAGACGAGCAGCTCAATGGTAGCTAACTGCACAGCTAATTGTACACAATTTATTTTTAATCCGTCTCTTTGTGAACGATTTTAGTTGCATCCTGATGCTTATGCAGTGTTGCTCAGTCTGAAAGAAGTGTTATTTATGGGGGTGGATATCCCTGTTATCTGTTATTTGCCATTAATGTTTTTTTAAAACATAAAAGGTTTTGTTTAAAAAATATTTGGGTCAATTTATGCTGTAAGAATATCAAAGGTGGATTTAAAATTGTTTCTTATAACTTAAATGAACTCAATGGTAGAATGTTGGGTATATTTTCACAAATAAATTATATTAAAGTACCATATTCAGTAGCTTTGGTGAGCTTTTTCTGGATTACTGCTATTTTGGATTTAGCTTTGCTGCTGTGTTGCATGCACGTGTGAAACATTGTTAAACACTTTTTGCCTGGAAAGGAAAGTGAAATTATATATATAAGAAAGAGATAAAGTATATAGGATTAATATCAGCCTATTGTGGCAAACTATCTAATTAATTATTAATTAATTGTATGTATTAATTAAATATTCATTCTTCCATTTATAATCTCTCTATATGTGTACACATATATGCAAAGAGCAGTTAGTAAAAAATTTTAATAAAATTAAAATTTCTTATCATATGGATCAACCAAAGAATATTATATAATGCTTGCTCTGTATCCATAAAAATAGTTTTGGAAAGACTGAAAATGATGCGTATGCTAAAAGTCATTGTAAATTAGTTTTTCTATTTGTTATCTTGTTTGTCTGGTTTGCCAGAGGATTGTTAAGTGTTAGAAATCCCTTTTTGCCTTGAGAAAATGGAAAGAAGTGTCTTGCTTAATAGAAAAAACAGTTGAATTTAATATTTTTAATCAGGCAGAGAAATCTAATACATATAAACACAGTTTGTTGGATAAAATTTGTATTCTCTTAAATCTAAAATGATTTGGATGTATAATTTGTCCTATATTTTAATATTATTCCAACCAGAAATTTATTCGTCCTTTTAGCTAAAAATTTCTTTTAGAAGGATTGGACTACGTTTTGAAAAACGTTGGGGATAAAGTAATCATGCTGCGATTTTTCGGGATTTTAAGGCAGGATTTTGAAAATATATGTTAGGTTCAGTAGAAGTATGTAACATACTGTTCACTGTTAGATATTTACAAAAAATATAATTTAAAAAAAATTTAAAGTGTATCCAATATAACTATTCTTCTTTTTACTTGCATTGGTAATTTCAAAAATTAGGGCACTGATACAGAATTGTATGGCAATGAAAACTTTTACAAATGGGTATGCTGAAAGGTAAAGTGGTAAACCATTATTAAACTACAAAAAGCATTTTTAGTTCGTTTTCCTTAATAGTCATCAGATAAAAAAATTAAATAAAATTAAAAAATAAATAAATGTGTAATTTTTTAGCATTTATATATGAAAATATTTACCTATTAATTTATATGATAGATTAAAAAAATATTTCACAACCTTAACTTCTATTTCACAGTTATTTCTTATCCTGATTTGTATTATTCCCCCCCCTCTGTAACTAACTGGTAGCCATTATAGCCTTGCTTACATAACCACTAGAATGATAAAAATGTCACCTAATATTAAAATGTAAAAATTGGAGTTCATTTTACTTGTTAATACATTCATTTCTTATAAATGTGGACCACTTCATAATGTAAACTATCTGCAAACTGCATCAACTGAAGAACTTTTATTTTATTTATTTATTTATTCTTGTAGTTCATTAATGCATGTTATTTCATATGTAGAGAAATTGGGTTATTTTTTCGAAGCCAGAGGAGATGAAATATTAGCAAACGCCTTCGCCGGGAATCGAACCATGAACCTCTGGAATACCGGCCCAGCATGCAGAACCACTACACCACGAAGGCACGCTAGGAAAGCGGGAGAAATACCTTATACATAAAATGAAATCTTAGAAAAATGCCATCAATTCCCGATTTATTGGGATGTGTCTGGGATAGTATTCATTGATAATTTGGTACAATTCTGTTAGAGCGGCATCATTTAAAAATGCGGCAACGACCATGCCAAATCTCTTGGCTCGAGAATTTAATGTTAGAAATATCATGACTCGAGAATTCTAGTTTTCATTTGAAATATCGTCGCTCATTATTTTGAAAATTTTTTTATTTACACTTAAAATATCATCGCCCAAGATTTCTAGTTTTCGTTTGAAATATCATCATGTTATTTTTTTGCCATTTTTTTTTAGTACGATGGATTATACAATTTACCAGTTATCTAATGTCAAAGAGGCTGCCATAAGATTCTTTTGGGATAAAGGAATAATTCATAGCAACAGACTTTTTTCTCAAAAACATCCGATAAAGTTAACTTTTGACTCAAACAAAGCTCCTATATGGCAGTGTTGTATGTTCTTGCTGTGGGGGGGGGAAAGATTGAGAATCAAAACATGATTTAAAGGCTCACATCTTACTTTCCTCAATGCCGTTCATTTCATCTATCTGTGGTGTCAAGAACTGATGTCGATTGAATTTTGCAAACGTCAATTAGAAATGAGCCATTATTATGACAGTAGATTGGAATAACTACTTGAGGGAGGTATGTGCAAATAGTTTCATGTCTCATAAAAGAATTAAAATCAGAAAAAAATTAAAACCAACAAAATCATAGAAATAAACGAAAGTGTTTTTACAAGAAGGAAAAACACCGTTGGACATATTCTTCCGGAACAGTGGGTATTTGGGGGGTTTATGCTGGGAAAGCAAAGAATGTTTTCTGGTCGCCATTCCTGATCGTTGTGCTAAGACATCGATGACTTCCATTCAAGGAAACATCAAAAATGGCAGCATTATATTTTCAGACTGCTGGAAAGGATATAAGCAAGAACTAAAAAATGCTGTGTATGAACATTTCACTATGAATCATAGCTATAATTTTGTAGACCGCCAAACTGGATGTCATACCGAAACTGTGGAGCAATTATGGGGCAGTGCTAAATGGAGAAATTAACATCAACAGGGCACTGCTTGCCACCATTTAGAATCATATTTAATAGAATTCATGTGTCATCGACTACATTCAAAAACTCAAAATTTTTCTGCAATATTGAATGATATTCATAATTTTATTTATTTATGTGTAGAATATTTTAAGTTACAAAATTAAAAAGAAAAGTTTTCTGTCTTTAAGAATAAAGAAATTTAAAAAATTACTTTTTACAGAATTAATTTTTTTTTATTCTTTTGAACTCCATTATTATTTTATAATTTAATACTTGGCGAAAATTAGTGGCAAAAAAGAAGTGGCACATTTTGAACTGACGCTGCTCTAAGGGAATAGAACCGTTAATACAAAATCATGATTTATCCATGGTTAGTTGAAAAGTACAGAAAAGAATAATAACTGATGTTATAATTTACAGAAAAATACTATTATTAGTTTACCTGTATTTTTAAGCAGTTGGGAAAGCAGTTCATTTTATAAGGTTTGGTAAATCGCACTCATATGCATTTTTGTAATCAAACAAACTATACCAAACCAAACCATTTCATAAGGTCAATTGAAGCAATATTCAAAGCAAAAGAAAATAATAAAAAATAAGTAAATAAATAAAAATCTGAAAGGTTTCAGATTTTAAATTGCGTCCAAAGGAGCTTTTTTTTTTTTAGCATTTTGTCTGTTATCTTATTATATATCACGTTCTTCACACTTAAAACCATAAAATTCAGTTCAAAAACAATATCGCAAAATAGTTTTAAATTGAACATATCTTTAGAATTTCCAATACACAGTCTCACGCACTGGAGATAAAAATGTTTTTACTGTACAACGTTGCCATTGCTTGCTTTGAAATCCTTGAGTTTGTTGATCAAAAATTCGTTAAAGATTTACAAAATATGAAATCAATAATAAAACAAAATCCAAATTTCAAATTTGGGCTTCCACATGCCCATATTTCCAGTAGGATTAACTCATTCAAAATTCGATGGCTCTATGTACCATTATTTATCACAGTGCAAGAAATATACAGACATTTATGCATATTTTTCATTATTTAATTAAGTATAATGCAGGACTCTAACATTTGGTGGCAACAGTTTGAAAAGTGAGACGGACATTTATAGTGAACCAACGCAAAATTGCAAACGAAAACAACAGTGCTTCAGGGACAAAGCCCCTTTGGACTAATAATAAAATAAAATGAAATAAATTGATCTGAAAGCTTTCAGATTTTATATTGTGTACAAATAGGCCTTTCCCCCCCCCCCATTTACAGACACACACTTTTCGAGAGCAATTGGGCTAATGGCACTTAAAAATATTTAAAGACAGCATATCTTTAGAATTTCTGATAGACAGTCTCTTGCACTTGAGATAAAAATGTTTTATTCTGTACAGTGTTGTCACTGCTCGCTTTGAAATTGTTGAGTTTTTAATTAAAAATTTTCAAAATATGAAATAGGTAATAAAACAGATTCCAAACTTGGACGTCCAAGTGCTCGTGTTCAGGGGGAGGACTATGTTATTCAAAATTTGATGACTCTAGGTACCATTGGTTTTTCACATTACAAGAAACATACATATATTATTCATACAGATTCTTCATTATTTAGTTCTTTAAATATAATACAAGGCGATAATATTTTTTGGCAACAGTTTGAAAATTGATACAACACATTTAAGTTATTCAGCACAAAATGCCACTTCGAGACTATTAGTATGTCTGGGCTAATGCCCCTTTGGGTTTAAAAAAAAAACAATGTAAGTAATGGCCAAATAAATTTCATTAGAAATGAAGAAACTCAGCTAAATTGCATTTAAGAACAGTATTTACAATGGAGTTGAATTCAAACTTACATTTAAAAAGCTACTTGTATTGTTTTTAAATAAAATGCATAGATTTTTCCAGTTACATGCAATTAAGTTACATAACCATTGTGGATAGAAACAAATACTGTGACGTATCTGTTATTATCGAGTTATCTGTATCAATAATTTTTTCCTTTTTGTATTGTTCATAGTCAGCTTTGTTTTACACTAATGATTTGTAATACTAATTTTTCTGTTGTATTGCAAATAAGCTTAATTTTGTTATTTTTTTAGACAGGTCTTCTTATATACCACCCTAATTAATTGGGGGTTGGTTGTAATCTACATTACATACTGTTTCTTAAATATAAATTTAGACTTTTAATGTTTATGCATATTTTTATAATGAAAATTATTTTTTAATTGAAAAATTAAAATTCTTTAATAGGGTGATATTTTAAATTGATAAAAATGGGTTTTTAAAAAAATCATTAATTCATTTTTCTTCCTTTATATATTTTGGTAAGTTTTTTTTCCTCTGTCTTTAAATTAGTTGCTTAAGGAACTAGTCGATGTTGAAGCTCAGCTTGCTCAAAAATCTTCCACTTTAACTGGAAGTTATGCTACATCAGTAGGATTAAGCATCGTTGGGGTACTGTACACATATCATTGCTGCCTACTTGTTTCTCAAGACCAAACTCTTGCAGTTTTTGATGGGTTTGTATAACTCACTATTTACTTATACTATAAAATAATTTTTATTTATCCATTTATTTTATTTGTTTTGATAATAAAATATTTTTATTGAACTTTTACAGTCTGTGTAGAATTATTAAGCACATAAATACACCAACAGATTGCTCTTCTGCAGAGAGGTGCATACTTTCATACTTGTTTGATATGAATTCTTCATGTAGTTACGTTAAGGTAATTGATTTAAGTTTTAATTTGAAAGTATTTTTTCTTATATTAGAAGGTAAGTTGTTCTATTTAGCATGAATCTTTAAAGTACTTTATTCTGTTTTTATGTTGCATTAGTTACTCTGCATTAATATATCTTATGCATATATATATCTTATTAATGCAGATCATATATACATCATTAATATACACATTAATATTATATTAAAGCTTATATTAATGATTACATATGATAATATGTGAGCAATATTAAATTCAGATCTCTCTTTTTGTTTAATGTATTTTTTTTCCTCCTGTTCTTTCATTTGTATGATCAAAAGCCTTTATCAAGAGCACTAGAATTTCGAAACAAAATGTTTCGAGTAAAATCATGGTTGTGAAACAATTAGTTCTAATTTTAATTAAAAATATTTGTCAAATTTATTGAAAATTTTTATGATCTGCTAATGGATATATCTTTCTTATGCTTATAGCCTCGGCATTCAGAACAGTTTGGAAACATATATCCTAAAGTCAAATCTGTTATTTATGGTTCTACTACCCCATCTGTGATAAATTTGCTTTGGAATACAAAGTTTATGATTGAATATATTACTGATCCAAGGTATGTAGATAAGAAAATTGTGTGAATGTTGTATATTTAATGTTTGTTTTTTTATTCACTATAAAGTCCAAAATCCAGGCATGTAATATCCAAAATAATCTAAAATCCAGGCCTCTAAATCATCAGCAACTCTTTTTTTTTTTTTTTTTTTTTTTTTTTTTTTTTTTTTTTTATGCTTTGTGCCTGTACATTTGTTACTTTTTCATAACAAAACCCAGTTCTTCATTTCACTTCAGCAGTAAATAAAATGCCTTTATAGTGAAGAAACAATCATTTATTAACATAAATCCATATGAATAATAATTTGATTCTATAACCAGCTTTTTGCTTGTCGTACATCTCAAGCCAAAACATTCTACAGTGAAACATCATTGAACTTGAATGATTTATATCCCTGATCCCAATCTTGGGATCAGTATTTATTTATTTATTTGTGCTTTCATTACTGCATGATTATCAACACACAGCAGCTTGACACACCCAGTAAATATATATATATATTAGTAATTGAGTACCAGCTGTTTGAATTGAGAATAACTGAGTTGTTATTCAGATAAGCGCAGGACTAGTGACAAAACTGGTGTTGCTCTGCTAGGAAAGAGAGTTTAGGTGAGAAAAATTTTTAGAAATTTGAGAAGCACCAAGCAACAAAATTAACCCTTTGACCTATAACGAGTCTGACACGTGGTAAAGAATTTGTGCCATAAGCAAAAGCCACAAGTCTGAGTAGTGGTAAAGAATTTGTGTCATAAACAAAAGCCACGAGTATGACTCGTGGTGAGGAATTTGTGCAAAAAATGCTGCATATTATTATTAAAACAAGCGATTAGAGTTATTCTACATCGAATATTTTTCCTTTGATTGTAATGTCAGTTTTTTTTTTTTTTTTTTCCCAAGTTGTTTCTGATGAAATTGGATGATCTGTTACTTTAGTTCCCCGTAAAGCTTCATTACGTTCACACGTTTCAAATATAATTTCTAATAATAATTTATAAAGAATTAAAAAACTTATACCCATCATGTCAAACTCTTATACCGCATCATTCCCATCATGCAATTATTTTTGTTAACTGATCAATTGATTCTGATTACAGGAGTATACATTTTGCGCCATTTCGGGTACATGGCTGAACAGTTAAATGGTTGGTTTGGTTTGGTTTATTAGATTACGGCAAAGCACTCGAGAGCTATCTGCCTTAAGGGAGGGATGCCTTCGTGGAGGACTTTTTAAGGGAAACTGGCTCATATACACGAACAGTTGAATGGCACGGCACGCAACTGACTTTCTTTTTTACTATAGCTCGCGCAGTTGGCAGATATCATGTAGGCCAAGGGGTTAAGGGATGACACAATCTTTAGAATTCAGGGTAGGTGCTTGGCAGCAGAATTTAGGATGCAGAGATAGCACCAGACTGCTAAATATTTAGTACTGACCTTAGATAAGCTGTAAATATATGTGAGAATTTATTTATTCAGGTCTCTCATTGGCCTTAAGCTTGTGCAGAAAATAGGCATAACTATAATACATAGCTAAACTATTATAATTCAGACGCAACTTTGTCAGCTTATGATAGAAGCAACACAGAATTTATCAGAAAAACATGTCTTTAGTCACTAGTCTCGTAATACATCACCAACAGTGATACTAGTTAAACTCAAATTTGAAGGTTTTCAAATGTCATCAACAAAAAGTGAAATTTCCCAATAAAATGGAAATTTTAATGTAATTTGTGAAGAAATATGAAGTAGTAATAAATGAAGATGATATGGCATGAGTTTTTCATTGTGATAACAATGCCCCAATCGTCAATTAACTTATGGACAGCAAAATGTGCAGCATGGGTTCTAAATTTAAAAAAAAAAAAAAAAAATATATAAAAAAAAAATTGTCTACCAATAGTGAAGAAAATGACAAAGAAGTTGCTAAAAACAAAACACACACACACACACACACACACACAAAACAAAAAAAAAAAAAAAAAAAAAAAAAAAAAAATGGCAATTTAGTGGGAATTCTCAACATGGCAATGATAAGGCTTTAACAGTGGAACTTTGTAACTGAAGAAGAAATTGTGTCTATCTGTAGAATTAAAGAGAAAGTATTAACACATAAAATCAAGAAATTTAAAAAACTTACGTATTGAAAGATAGATTTAATAAAGCAAACAAATAAGTATTGAGATTTATATATATGTAATTAATATTTAAAAAAAAAAAAAAAACTCAAAACTGGAATCACTAAAGCCTCAAAAAAATCTGTATCTTAGACTTTTATACTGTAATTTTTTTTATATTTGTGTGTATTATATGCATAAAATCAAGAAATTTAGAAAACTTACATATTGAAAGATAGTTTTAATAAAGCAAACAAATAAGTATTGAACTTTATATATATAATTAATATTAAAAAAATCTCAAATTTGGAATTGCTAAAGCCCCAAAAAAATCTGTATCTTAGACTTTAATACTGTATTTTTTTTATATTTGTGTGTATTATATGCAGTGTTATATTGGGATCTCTCTCTCTTTAGATTGAAAGTGGATATGCAGCTTATAAAACAACTTAATGAGCAGCCTGCATTACGATATAGTTTTGTCTGCAATGCTATTCATGGTATTTCAGTAACTAGAGATCCTGACAGGTAACTATTTTGTTAAAAAAAATACACTATTAGGGTAAGAAGTAATCAAAGTTTTACTTTATCTTTACCGTTGTAATTAATAGTAAAATCACTTTTCCTCTGTGAATAAATACTGACCAAAGTATCTCTAATTAGTTCAGTAGGTCTGCCAAATTTTCTAGGAGGAGGATTTTTAAATTTTCATATTGTTAATTAAATCTTGATAAAAATGTAACTTTTCATAAGTTATGATTTAAATTAGTATTTGAATTACTTTCTAAAATAGCTGATGCTAGTTTAAATAGTTTGCTTTAAACACATCAAAGAAATAAAACCCTTAAAAAACATCAAAACCTAATGAATGCATATATATTAAAAACTTAGGAATACAGGTTTAGAGTGAAAAGTGCTTAATGTACCTTTGAATAATATTAGAGTAGATTAAGATGATTCACCTTTAAAATAAAAATAATTAATTTAGTTTAATTAAAAGTCATGAGAAGCAGTTTTAAAATATTCTCTGTAGAAAATGATCTTAATTTTGAAACATAACATTGTGTATTGTTATACATTAGTGTACAAAACTTAAGCAACATTTTTGATTTCGGCCATAATTCCATGAAAAATCAAATGGGAGACATGAAATTCATACTACAGAGGCGCAATATGGTACTTAAAAAATGCAGAAAGTATTGTAAGTAAGAAGATAAATAAAATATGAGTAGAAAGCTTACAGTATGGAATAAATAGAAAAAGGCCTTATTGACAGAATGCTATTGGTACTAAAAAAGTCTGACCAAGAGGGAGAACAACAAGTCAAAGATCCTTAGAAGGGGATACAAGCTTATTCAACTGCAATAGTTGCATTGCATCATTTGTCAATACTTGACACCGGATCTAACAGTTCTTGCAGTAAGAGTGCCCATTCTTCAACAAGCATCTGTTTCAATTGTCTGATGTTCTTCAGAGGGTAAGAGCGTGCTGTCAGGCATATCTCTATATCTAAAGTATACCACAAGTGTTCAGTATGTGGATTTATACCAGGGCAGCACGCTGATCAATTCCATTCTGTGAATATGATCACTTTCCAGAAGCTTCTCAACAGCTTGGGTACCATGTGGTCATGCATTATCAACAATAAAAGCAATGTCAGGACCATTGGACCCAGGAAAAGAGCCTTCCAATACAAACGTGCCAGGACCATCTCCATGGCCCCTGATGTTAGTGGGCTGAAAGTATGTTTCTTCCTCTTTCCATATCAACTGGTGTCGAGAATTGTTTATCAGACTGAAATGACTCATTGGTAAAGAGAATGACTCATTAGTAAAGAGAATGTGCTTTCATTGATGAAGTGTCCAATCTTCCCTATCTTCATATTCTCTACACTGCTGTAAACAGTGCCACCGATGGATTGCTGTCGGTGGTATGCAGTGTTTAGGCTGGTGGGCAAAATTAGGCTGCCTTTATGAAGTCATATGGCAACAGTAAACCAGAGTACATGCTGTCCAGTTCCCATACACAACTCCTAAGCAGTGTTGCCTGCTGTTTGGTTTCAATCTCTTTTCGTCTACAGAGGAATATATGAGTCATCAGTTATAGTTGTTTTCCTTGGCTGACTGCTGTCAACATTTCTTACAGCTTGCACTGTGTCATTCGGAAGACTATTCAAGCTTGTGAAACAACACTTTTATCAAGTCTTAAGCTCTTAAGTGACAGACATGAAATTGCACCCTTCCTCAACCTTGCCAGTCATTCGACCATGTGTAAGAGCATCCTGATGTTCTTTTGTAGCCATACTGCAAATGCAGTCTTATTTTTGTTTGCAGAAGAATGGCCAGAAATGTGCCTTCCTTTCTTCTTTTTAAGTTGTTTTGCATTGTGCTTATCATTATTACAGAGATTAAATTTCTTTTTATCACGTATATTAAGAAAAGTGTTAAAAATAGATGGAACTTCAAAAAGCCCAAAGGAATTCTCAAAAGAACTCTAACATACATTTCCTTCTTTAAATGAATTTCTTGTCCCAAAAGAAAGCATTTATGAAGCTCTTTCTAAATTCCAAAATATTTTATTTTTATATATTAAAAAGTGTATCCTTAGAGGAAAATAACACAATTATAAACCATTCTGGAATGAAAAGCTTGATTCTCCAAAATCTAATTCCTGCCAGGCCCGCATTACAGCTGAATTAAAACACCAGAAGATATCCAATTCTGGAGAAAGAGTATTCCCTATTCTACATAAAGAAATTTTAATTGTTTTAATTATTAAGATTGACTATAGAAAAGCCTTTAATAGGATCTGTAATTTTGTGAATTGAAGAATAAGTGTAATAAGAAAATTAGGAAACCACTGAGAGTTGAGGTAAAACTTTTAACTTATGCTGATGACAAAGAGATTTCTAATGCTTTTAACTGTTTTTATTCTAAAAGACAAAGGTTGAATTATTATCATAAGGAAAAGCAGAAGCTTACCAGAAGGGAAGGTAAACCTTTAACTTATAAAAACTTTTACTTTTTTTTTAGTTAAATAATAAAATGACACCACAAATATACAAAAACAATTTTTTTTTTTTTTTTTTTTTTTTTGGATTTTACGTTTTCAAAAAATATGCATGGGACATAAATGTTCCTTTAGGTTTCCTTAGGCCACTCCATCAACTTCTGGTTCAATATTTTCTATCTGCATTGTCGTCAGCGTCATCCTCCAAAACAATCAGCAAGCTGTTGCAGCTCTTTGTTGTCTTTCTCATTCTGAAAAAATATATGTATACATATGCATATTTTTGAGCACACAAACAGCAAAAACCAACTGGGATGCATTTACCCCCAGTGAGAATTTGAGAGTGATGTATATATCCCCTACTGAAATTTTCAACAAAAAAGGGAATAAACATATACACCATAAAATTAATTTGTACTTTTAGCCACCAATTTACATTAAAAAAGGTGTAAAAATACAATAAACAGACTTGTAGGTATAGGTTAGGAAACATTTGCTTTGTCGCCAGATTTAGACTAACCGAGAGACCATGGCAAAATTGGCAGTAAACCTTTAGTCAAAGTCCAGTATTCGAGTGGGACACAGACTCACACATATGTAATAGACGTGCTTCTCTCTCATGTTTTTTTATTTTGCTGTGGGACATATATAACCTATTAGATGCAAAAGGTTTTAAAGATTGTTGTTCTTCTCAGCTCAAAGAATGAGGACATGAGATCTTGCTTAGTAATTTTGGCATACTGGAGTTTAAGAAAGCCATTAAACAAACGAAAAATGGAAAGAACTCAGAAATGGATAACTTTTTCGTGGAATTTAAACATCTTGGCTAAAATGCACTTTCTGTTCTTTTAAAATTATATAACTACAGCTGGAATTTTTTAGTACCTGCTATTTGGAAAAAAAGCTACTGTTATTCCAATTCAATAAAATTCTGGATGATTTTAATAGTTACTGGCCTGTTTCCTTGACTTGCCTTCCATCAAAAGTCATGGAGAGATTGAGTTTCTCATCTTAATTGGTATAGCGAGACAAATAATCGTTTGTCTACAACCCAGGCAGCTTCTAGAAATTCCAGTCAGCTAGCCAACAGGCCATCTTTCTAGTGCCCTGGATCATCAACATTCGGTCTTTGCCATGTTTGTAGACTTTGAGGCTACTTTTGACAGGCTCTGGAGATTAAGGATTGTACAAAAACTACAATCTGTAGGCATTGATGGCAAGATGCTCTGGTGGATCAAAGATTTTCTTTCCCAATGCCACTCACTTTGGAGATGATACACTGAAATTTAAGCAAAATGAAACTGGTCTACCACATGTCACTGTAATTAGCCCCATCCTGGTTAATATTTCTATAAATGACCTCCCAGACTTGATGACTTCTGATGGATTGATAAAAGAGGATCTATATGCAGACGATATAGTCTTTGGTGTACCTCTGTGAAAAAAAGACCAACTGAGCGTAACACTATTTTGAATCTAACCCTGGAGCGACTTGAATGTTATTGGTGCAAGGATAACAGTGTGCCAGTAAAAATAAATAAAACAACCAATTAATTTTTCACTCTTTATTAACAACCCTTTAATTAAGACACAATAACACGCCGAATAAATACTAATTCAGAAGTCAAACAACAAAAATCAGCGTTATATTTACAAAATTTTCACAGGACTAGTTTCGATGGTTTTACCGAACCACCATCCTCAGCTTCAAAACCGAAAATGAACAAGATAGGAAATTATGATTAGATAAGATAAGAAAGCCTGGACAAGAATAAGCAAGTGGTGCCATCTGTTGGTGAAACCAGAACTAAAACATAATTTCTTTAAAGGCCGAAGGCAAAGTTGGATTGGAATTAGGATCGTTAACTAAACAGAAAGATTTTTTATGAATGTGAAATGCCTCTAGAAAATCCAGTTCTCCAATGGAAGATGTTTTTTGAATAATTTTGGCAGCAGAAAAATTGAAAGTGTGGTTTTCGGGCCAACAATGTTGAGCAACAGAAGATTTCTGTGTTTCCTTTTTTCTAACATATGCCTCATGTTCCTTGACGCGAAATTTTAAGGCTCTCTTAGTTTGGCCAATGTAAGTTGAACCACACTGGCAAGGAATCCTATAAATACCCCAGGAATTCATATCCGGAATGGAGTCGTTGAGTATGGAACTCGAAATTTTATTGATGGGAGAATAAACAACTCGAAAGTTAAATTTCTGCAAAATATGTGCAACTTTATAGCTAATTGATGGAAAGAAGGGAATGACAACATAATTTTTATAATCTCCTAAAACAAGAGTGTGCCTTTTAGTGTGTTGAGATGAGAATTTTTTAACTGCTTGATTAATAATGTTGGGTTAAAAGCCTCTGTCAATAGCTATTGCTTTTAAATAATTTAGTTCTTCATCAAGGGATAGTTTGGATGAGCAAACTTGAAGAGCACGGAAAACATAGGAATAAAATGAAGCTAACTTTTGTTTAGTTAGATGACATGATTTAAAGTGTGGTGGAAGGCAAACCGCTGAA